GACTTCATTAGATTGTGAAAGGGGTCTGTGACAAAAAAAAAAAAAAAGGTTAAGAACTTCTGATCTAAATAGTTGTTTTTATGTGTTCATCAAAATGACTGTAACATAAAATCTACTGCCTAAAACCGAGGGAAAAAAAAAGACACCCACACTTACCAAAGAACAAGATATCTGTGAGTTTGTTTTTAATGCATCTAGAAATGTACAAGTAGTTCTGAGTGAGGGGGCAGTAATGGGGGACAGTGAATTTCCTATTTGATTGCCTCCTAAAGAAGACTGTTAAACTGAGATTGCTGTGCTAGCAGCCCAAAGCAAAATAAAAGCCATTAAGAAAGGGCTTGTTCCTCTTTGCAAATAGCCCTAGGCTGGCACAGGCTAATTTATCCACTGCATCTTAGAAGTGAGCAAAAGATACATTACATCCATAGAACTGACTGGGGAAAAGGAAATGTTTCTCTACCTAGAACTCTAACTTAAATTCTTCATTAAAGAAGTCTTCTCTATTATCTCCTTTTAAAAAAAAATCTAGACAATGGCATATGTGTGTGTTGGAGGGAATATCCTAAGAGCAACTAAGCTGAACTGTAGCTCTCTGTTAGTAAGAATAGAGATAAGGGCATGATGGCAATATTTTATGGTCAAACTGCTTTGACATGACAGTTGTATGGGCTTTTATATTAGCACCCATAAGGCAACATGTTTCTGGATTTTAAGATTAGAAATACTGCCATTTGCATTCTACCTACCTTCCACCATCTACATACATATATGTACAGAGATTTATATATATATAATATATATACACACATATATTCATATTCATATACATATATACATTTATATATGTACAAAAAAGTCCATACATATTACATATATGTAGACTCCTTGTGATTTTACATATTTTGCAACTGATATTTTTATTATAATGTGTACTTGGTTTATTCAGTTACTAATTGCTGAAATATTGAGATTGTTCAGTAATGGTTTATGGGGGCAGAATATTTGAAATCAGGACTAACCTGGAAGATCTGAGATGGATGATCACTTTTGGCAGGAGGAACAGATGTAGGACTCAAAGAACTGACATTCATTTTGATGGCCCACCAGCTCTAATTAAAATACTGATGATCCAGGTCCAGTGGATTGTTCCAACTGTTGTGAAGGCTGTTGGGGATCTGCTGCAGGTGTTGTGATTTGGGACTTGTTTAGGAAGTTTGATCTGGAGACCTTCAGGGGCTTTTGGGGGTGGTCCAAGCTGGAATTTCTTTAGAGAACATGTCCAAGAGATCAAAACCAGCCAGTAAAAGCACTTTTGGCTTAATGATTGATTGGTTCAGAACATCTTTGCTCTTCTCTGGATAAGGGCCTGGGTTGGGGTGGAGAGCAGAGAAGGTGGTCCTAAATAGTTGGCAATATGGCTCTTGGACTGATCCCAGATTTTCACTGGTAGGGGGTGGCCCTTTGTGATTATTGTTTTTCAATGCTCTGCCCAGTCTTCAAGTGACTCGATCTTAATTAAGCATTGCCAGTGTTGGCATCTGTTCTTCAAACTGAAATTTGAAAAACCTAGTTAAGGGCTGCTAGAGGATTAAGGGTCTCCAACAGGTCCGTACAACATATAACCCTCTGGCCACTTGTGGCCCACCAAAGGATTTAGAGTGACTCATGAAAAAATGTAGAGGATGTAAAAGAAAGTAAAGATGTAACAAGTGCTTTGCTTGTGCCCCACTTAACCGGTCTTCCATTAGTCACTATTGTGCCTGTCATGTAACTTGGCAGCTGGGTTGCCACTGCACACTCTCTCCCGTTTGTCACATGACTGGTGGTGACCACTGTCAGTCTGTCTCTGTTCTGAGAGGAGTGAGAGTAGTAGTATCTTTTTGATGTGTTTTCAGTCCTTACCGGTGTTGAATAGGGACAAAGTGAGTGCAGCCACGAGCCAGTGCAGCTATGGGATGAGTGGCAATAACTCAAGGCTTTCTTCTCTTCCCTCCATGTGCAGCCATCCTCCAAGTTACAGGAATGTCTGGCACTCTCCAAGGTCAGAAACTCAGTTCAGTATTTCTTTGTATGTGAACAGTTGCTGTGGAGATTTTTTTGGTTCTAACATTAAAATTTTGGGGGTGACTTTGTAGGTGATAAAAAGAAATGGAAGATCAAATCAGAACATAGGGTCTTTAATCCAGAGTGGACAAACAGATACTTCTTTACTTACATGAGAGACAAAATATTGTGCCTTATTTATGGAGAATAGCTGTTCAGAAGGAATGCAATCTTCGTTGCCATTTAGAATCAAAACATCCTGACTCAAGCAAATTGGACACCAATGAAAAAGAAATTAAAGTGTCCACGTTTGTTGAAAAACCTCAGTGGGGAACAAAGGTTTTTCAAGAAAGTAAACTCAGAAAATGAGGCTATTAATGTTAGTTTTCAGATTTCTAAAGAAATTGCTGCTGCTGAGAAGTCTTTTACTGAAGGTGGCTTCATACAGAAGTACTTGCTGATTCAAGTTTCTGCCTTACCTCTGATACAAAAGGGTTTTTGAGAAATAGTTTAATCATTAATTATACCTTTACTTGGAAAGTGAGCCGCTAAAAATCCATCTATGGCCCTATTTTAATTTTGACCCCTACCTACTGCCAAGTTGTGAAGGTCTGGTCTAGAGGTCTAGTGCCTAGAACAAGAGAGAATGATAGTCTTATCACCCTAATTTACTTGGAGCTTTGTGTTCAGTCCGAGGACCCACAGTAAGCCGACAAGATGGAGTCAGTCCAGAGAAGGATGCCCAGGTTGATGGACCTGGACCTCAAAATCATGCCCTAGCACGGTTAATTGAAGGAGCTGAGGATGTTTGGCTAAGAGAGAAGCCTTAGGAGGGGAATTGATTACGGTCTTCAGGCCCGTGAAGGGGCTATCAGGGGTAAGTAATTTAGTGAACTAGACCCACCCTAGGGGACAGAATTAGGTCCAAGGGGAGGAAGCCACACAGAAGCAAAGGTTGGCTCACTTCCTAACAGCCAGCGCTTGCCACGGACTGAAGAGGCTGCCCCCAGACGGGGCCCCCAGTGCAGAGTTGTTGAGATCTGTGCTTTGGGTTGGGGGTTGGGTTGAATGAGGAGACCTTAGGTCTGACCCAGGCTGTGATTTTGAGGGCTCTCATCAAAAGGTCCCTCTATCCACTTGTCTGAACCTATAATTTTCTTTGATGCAAAAGAGGGAAAAGGCGGGGTGGGGGAATGTTCCCATTTCCGTTGCCAAGGTAACACTGCTTCTGGGTCGCGGCGGGGTTGGAGAGGTGTTCTCCATGGTTGGCCCCGACCCCTCATCCCAGAAGCGTTAACTGGGGGCCGCTGAAACGACAAGCAGGGTAAGGGGTTTTCTGTAGTCCGTTTTTTGCTTTTTTGTTTTTTCCCGGGGGGGGGCACGGAGCTGAGTCCAGGAATCAGTTTTCCAGTGTAACTGGGGCGTTACTGGAAGAGGTGTCCATTCATTCCTTAGCATTTCAACCGCAATAACGGTCATTCGAGACCAGTAAGGGCGGGAGGAGAAAGGGGTAACTTGGGACCCCGCCACCGGACACAAAGTTCGAGGCCACCGTCCCAGCGTGATTGGCTCAGAGCCACGCCCCTTTCTGTCCTCGAGCCAGACGCCTGCGCGGGCAGGGAGGAGCTTCGTTGAGGTGTGGAGGGCTTTATGACGAACCTCCGGCCCTCGCTGCGATTCTTCGCCGAAGAGGCGTAGAGCCATGTCCTCCGCAAGCGTGCTCAAATGCCTACGCCTCCCACCCTACGCCCCCTCTCCTTGCCATAATTTCAGCGCGCCGGCCTCGTGGCCCTGCGCCTGGCTCAGCGACCCCACGAGAGGTCGCTGGGGCGCGCAAGGGGGCGGAGCTGGCATGACCGATCAGGCGCGCTCGCGTCCTGGGTGACGCAGAAGGGAACTGGGAGTAGGCGAGGTTGGAAGACTGGGCTGGCTAGAGCAGCCTGGTCGGGGAAGGGTGTGTGGGTGGTGCATAAAGTCCTGGTCCTCTCTGGGCCGAGAGCCCGCTCTCGCTGTTGCACTCCGTGCTAGGAGCAGATCCGGCGCAGGGGTTTCGGGCGGGAGGAAGGAGTCGGTCCTAGGGCAGCCTCCGCCCCCCGGGGAATCTGTCGGCTTGCCTGCCCGCCCCTACGCCCGCCCGCTGCGGGCCCAGCAGGCCTAGGTGAGCGGGGCCAGATCGCGGCGCCTGAGGAGTCTGGAAGGGAGAGTGTAAAGTTGGAGCCGGAGAGTTGGGGGAGAATGGACCATTGTCTGGAGGAGGGCCAAGGAGCCGGACCTGATGAATGGAGGGCAGAGAGAGTCCAGGAAGGAGGAGGAAGGAGGGATGAAGGTTTGAGGACGGGATGTGAGGAGGGAGAGCTGCAGTGCTTACGCCCGTCTCCCTTTTCCTTCTTATTATCAATCCCCCGCCTTTCCCCCATCTCCCTTCGGCACACCAAGATTGGCCAAACCTGGACCTTGGCCGTGGAGAAGCAGCAGATGTGAAGCAGCGTAGGTGCCCATTGACGCTCTGAAAGGGACGCAATTGGGGCTGCAGGGCGAGCAAGTTTCTGTGTGTGGTGGAGAGAATACAGTCGGCATTTTGTTAGTCTCTGACTTCCCTTTCTGCCTCAAACAGATGCGGCTTTGTTTATCCATCCCACTAAAATTTGATTCCTTGTTTAAAAAAAAATTAACTGGCAGACCTTTCTTTTTTTTTTCTCCTCACTATTTCTTATTTAATGTCTATATCGAGGATAGCCTTATCAGTTGGATGATTTCGAAGGTTATGAATAGTTGTTTATATTGTTTCACAGATGCCTGGAGGTAGGTTGATAGGTGTAAATACTCATTCCTTTCCTTCTGGAGAAGGTGTGGATGGGTTATAATCTCCACTGATAGAAGTACACCCGTGGATCTTGAATCCATTCAAATGCTAACATATTTAAGTAATCTGTTGTTTGATTTGTGTTTTCTGTTTGTTCATCTATTTGTCGGTACGGGAACTCTTTTGAAGTATGAATTCAGTTTTTTGTAATAGATTTAGGGTAGAGTCCCTGAATAGCTTGATCCTTGATGTCTTTGTTTTAAGGAACCTTTTTAAAATTCATACACTGCATTTTCTTGGGTAAGATGCAGGAAACAGCAAAATGTAATTAATGACTAGAGGTAACACCAAAAACGTCAGATTTTTTTTTTTTCCTCAGCCGGAGATACAACATAATAAGGGGCTGAGAACTCTAGCCATCTCTTATTCCTCAATGAACCGACTTCTCATTTGACCCCTTATAAGTAGCTAAGTAAGGCAGGAAGAGAGTCTGGTGATGTGGGTTCAGACTAAATGCTTTCTAATCTTACATTTTAAAGCTTCCTCCCAGATTTGAGTGTCATATCAAAGACATTTTTAGTTTGACTCCTTTGTTTTGCCGTAGTCCTTAAGTAAACTGTTCCAGGCTGTTTGAGCTAGCCCAGAAAGTAGTTTAATTGTGATCTTTGAAGTGGAGTGGTTGTGTGTTGTTTCAGTTACTCTGGAGAAATAGGGCAGCGGAGTAGTTTCTGCAAAGGTGAAACTTTAACCTTAACATAGTCCTACTACAGAGTTGGGTGTTTATGATGGTAAACTGTATATAAACTTCAGCTATTATTAACTTTTATCCTCAAACAGTTTTGTAAATCAGGGCCGGTATTGCTACTTTATTTTTATAGTCAGGGAAACTTAAGTCAGATAGATTGTTGATTTGCCGAAAGCTATACAGTTGGTATGTAGCAAAGCTAGAATTCCAACCCAGGTCTCATCTCCAAATCCAGTGTTCTTTCCATTATGTCATAAACTACTTGTTTCATCACACGGACTAGTTAGAACCTGAACCTCTGTGTTAACTGACCTTTTTGATTTTGGCAATTTGGTGCATCTCTTAGCAAATCAGGCTGACTCTCTATCTCACTTCATTTGTTCATTCAAGCACAGTTTATCGAGTGCATGCTTTGGTGGGTACTGTGTAGTACTAGTGATACTATTGTGCTAAAGGAAGTAGTAATGTCTGCCACCTTTAAGGAAGAATACAACTAACTGGGAAGTCAGCACGGTTGCTGTGACCAGGGAATGATTTAAGAGCTCCTTAAGAACGTTCAAGTATAAGAAAGGTGTTGGATAACTTGTGTAGATAAGTGTTAGAGGATTTTGTGTGGTAAAGAGAAGGGGCTAATTAGAGTCCACTGGGGTTAATTCTTGTGTTCTTGAAGATGAGTCTTAGAATTTCTATCTGCGGCACTTCATGATGCAGACTTTTATTCTGTTTCAAATCTCTACTGGTACACCTATCTAATTTGAATTTATAGAGTAAAAATCTTCCCCGGTCCTATTTTGGGTTAGCACTAATGTAAATTTGGATGTTACTAGGCTAGGGACTTTGTCTATACACTGAAAGTTCATTATAATGCTACACTTGGCATCTATGCAAATCAGCTTTACAATAAGATATTATTAATACTTTTAATAATTAAATTCCTTGAATTCCATTGTGGACCTACCTTCAAATGAATATTGCAATACAATGATTGCAATATAACAAATAGTGTTAGGTGAGATTTTTTTAAGTTTTATTTTTTTTTACATTATATTTACAGATTCCCCACTCCATTAGCTATCTCTTGTAACAAAATAAAACAAATAAATTAAATAAATAGCGACTTCATCTTGAAATTAATGTAACATTTGGAAATTGTATCATCCCCCCCAATTTTTAAGTTGTTTTTCAGTGAACAGAAATCTGTTTTCTCTTCGTCCTCTCCCCCACCCCGTGGAAAAAGTAAAGAAAAATTTCTTTTAACATATGCACAAACAAAATAAATTCCCTTGTTGGCTCTTGTGTGTGTGTATGTATAAAGATATATGTGTATAGAGTGTGTAGAGACAGACAAATTCGTTTTTTCGAACTCTAAACCTGTGTCAGGAGGTAAACAGTATCTTTTATCATTGGTCCTCTGGTATCATGAATGGCCATTGTGTTGATCCTAGTTCTTAAAACTTTCAAAGTTTTTTACAATGCTGTATAAATTGTTCTCATTTTGCTCATTTCATTCTTCATAAATGTATAATATTTGTAATATAAATTGTTCTTCTGGTTCTTTACTCTGTAACAATTTATATAAGTCTTTCCATCTCTTTGAAGTCATCTGTTTTCTCATTTCTTATGGCATAGTGGTATTCTATCATATTCATGACCACAATTTATTAAGCCATTCAGTAATTTATAGGCATCTCTTTAGTTTCCAATTCTCTTTCTACAATAAGTAGAGCTGCTATAAGTATTTTTATATATGTGGGTCTTCTCCCTTTTTCTTTGATTTCTCTAGGGTAGAGGCCTAAGAGTAGTATTGTTGAGTCAGAATGTATGCACAGATTAGTGACTTTGGGGTATAGTTCCAAACTGCTTTTAATAAATGCTGGACCCAGTCCCAACTTCACTAAACAACAATGTATTAATATGCCTGTTTTCTCATAGCTTATATGTTGAATTCTATAGTTTAAAATTCTTTTTCCCCCACTTAAGAAAGCTAGTTCCACAAACCCTTCTATTTCTGGTTTTATTATTTTTGCCTTTAAACTTTTGTCTTTTTATCTTTGGGTCACTTTTTTCTGCTTTGTAGTCGTGTGTGTTTACATGCATATATATGTATACGATAATATCTCAAATGAGATGGTATTTGTAAAGTGCTTAGCATAGTGCCTGGTATGTAGTAGGTGTTATGTAAAATGTTTATTCCTTGCCTTGACGTGTTTAGAAATGAAATTTTAGTTATATGTTTTCTAAGCTTCAGTTCGGTTGGAGGAAGGTTCAAATGATCAATAGAAAATTTTGGTGCTAAATGTTTCATCCTTTGCTGCTGCTCTCCTTACAAGAGAGGATGTTTTAAGTTGTCAGCTCTAATTTTAGTTCACATTTGGATAGCCGGGGGATATCTTTTCTTAGCTTGTCTTCGTATTCCTATTATTTGACAAATAACCATTGTTAAAACCATTGTTAAAAACCATTAATTTTTTGCTCCCTTGGTGCAGCCTCTTTTGGATTTGAATTCTGGTGCCTCAGTCATTTCTGGATCTATGCTAAAATGTATGAAATGATCTCTTTGTAAAAGATTTCTAAGTTTGATTTCCATGGTGTAGTCATACAGAATGGTTTGAGAATTGTACACAGGTTTGCTGTCATGGGTGACTTTTAGCCATTGTTTTATGGCAAGTTAGAGAGGACCAGAGAACTGGTTTAAGGTGATAGTTTGTCTTTTCTGGAAGCTGGAGGCCCACAAAATTGGTTTAAGGAACTAGTTTAGTTTAGAAAACTATGTGGTATTTTTCTTGACAGCAGTGATCAACATCCTTGTTTTTATCAGATTGAGGACAAGTATAATTTCTTATGTTTTGGCTTAAATCAATAAAGCACAGAGAAAATATGTCTTGTTTTAACTTTTTCTGTATGCTGCCCTGATATATGAACTAATATTTTGGACTATCTGATGCCAGACTATGTATCTGTTTTCTTGGGACCAGCTTAGCTAAATTTGGCAAGGCTTATTACTAGTTTGATAATAGGGGTGACAAGTGTTTTAGCCATGGCAGCTCTTGAAGACTGTCTACTAAAAACATAATAGGCTGTGATTCAGCACTGGTAGAGTTGTAGCCACAAAATGAAATCATAGGTCCTTGAAGCAGTGAAGTATATATAAACCCATCATTTCAAAGCATATATTTTTGTATTTAGATCATAACTACAGCTCTCTGGCTTGTCCTATCATCCAGTCTTAGCTGAAGGTGTCTTCTCGGGTTTCTTCAGGATGCCTGCAGCACTTGTGGAGAACAGCCAGGTTATCTGTGAAGTCTGGGCCAGCAACCTAGAAGAAGAGATGAGGAAGATCCGAGAAATTGTGCTTAGTTACAGTTACATTGCTATGGTAAATGTGCTGCACTGTCTTTGAATTACTTGTTGTTATGGAAATGAGGAAATTAGATTTACTATTCTAATTAGTAAATTTGACTGACCAGGCAGTGATAAACTACAGACGTGGTAGCCCACTGCCTGTTTTTATACGGCCTGCTAAGAGTGGTTTTTACATTTTTAAATATAGTAAACTTTATTTTAAAATGTAAAAACCATTCTTAGCTTGCTATACAGAAACAGGCAGTGAGCCCCATTTGACCAGAGAGCTGTAGTTTTCTGACCCCTGCACAATATAACCAAGTTATATGAAACTGGATGGCAAATTATGCTGTTTTTTATGAAACACAGCAATGTAGAAGCTAGGACATAGAGTGCAGCAAGTTATGGCAAGTAGAGCCTCCTGCTTGGACTGCTTGTAATAGCTCCCTGACTGACTTTACTTTCTCTAGGGTCCCCTCTTCATTGGGTCCTACATATGCTGCCAGATTAAATTTTCTAAGCACTGCTGTCATTCCCCAGTTTACAACCCTTGGTAACAGTAGCTCCCATTTCTATAGTTATTTCTTTACAGTTTACAAAGTGCTTTCCTTACAATGACCCTGTGACACAAGTAGTACCAGTATTATTATCCCCATTTTACTGAGGAGGAAACAAGCTTTTGATCAAATCGTGACTTGCCCAGGATCACAAAACTAATTAGAGGCAGAGGTAAGACTTGAACTCAGGTCTTATATATCCATTGTTATTTCTACTACACAATGCTGCTTCTCCCTCAGGGAATTCTCATTGCCAATAGGAATTAAAGCCAGACTTCTTTGGTTGATATTAAAAACCACTTCATAGGTTGGTACCAACCTAGTTCTGGTCTTATTCCCCATGACTCTATGACAATTTTCACCTGGCTAAATTGGTTCAATTTACTGTCCCCAAGATGTACTTTGTATTTTCCAGTTTTCATTCCTTTTCTTGTTATAGTTCTTCTGACCTGGAATACACTTACTTTGTTGTTCACTAGTAGTGTTGATCTATATATCCACTATATCCATTCCTGAATGATAGCCTTATATTTCCCCTTGCCTGCGTCAACTAAATGTAAATTCAGCATGTTCAAAACTGAATTCATCATCTTTTCTACAAAGTCTGTTTCTCCAGTGCCACTTGGCACCACCATCCACCTAGTACTTCAAGGTCTGCCTTTCTCTTCTTTAGTCATTCCCTCACATCCACTCAGATGTCAAGTTTAAAAAAATGTTTTCTGTAATATTTCTTGCATATTTTGCTTTCTTTCCACTTTACCTGCCACCACCCTAGTTTGATCTTTTTCACTTTTCATCTCAGTTATAGTCGTGGCTTTTTACCTTCTGTCTCTTCTTTATCTATCCTTCATATAGCTACATGAAATAATCTCTCACAATAATCTTCCTAAAGCAGGACTTTCACCAAGTCACTCCTGTGCTCAAAAGCATTCAGGGGTTTCATATTACCTATAGGTAAGATACAAACACTTTGTCCTTTCATTTTGTCCCATACTCTTTTGCGTCTTTGTGTTCAAACAGACCAACAATCTTTCCTTCTTAAATCCGAAACTTCCCCCCAATATGTTTTTTAAAATTATGTCTTTGATTTTTCCCTCCCCTTCCCCCCCCTTGGTCCCGCTCTTCCCCTTTCCCCTCCCTCCCCCCCTGCCCCGAGTTCCTTTTTCACATTTCATCTTTGTTGAATGTAAGCAATCTCATTTTTTGTCTTTGTATCCCTAGAGCCCTGTTGTTCCTTAGCAGGCACTTAGTAAGTGTTTGTGTTTGAATTTGTTGTTAAATAGGATCATGGATTTAGAAGGGGCCTTTATAAGTCTTCTAGTCCAGTTCCTTTATTTTTCAGATGAATATGAGGTACAGAGAACTTAAATAACTTGCCCAGGGTCAGAACTAGATTGAACACAGGTTCTGAGTCCAGATCCAGCGCTCTTCCCCTCAACCAGACACCCAAATTCTGTACATGTATATTGAGTGTCTCTAGTCGTTTCTGCCCACTTACTTTTAGTGTCAGAACTATTTCACACCTCTTGAGATCCTATAATAGACAAGTACTTCTAGATATGATGGTGCTGCTGCTTTATTTTAACTGGCATTAGGTTGGCTAGTTAAATGATTTCTTTATAAACTGAGGTCACAGTTTTATAAACCCTTGGGGAGGTAGATGAGATAGCAGTTTTAGTAGCCATTACAGAACTTTGCACTGAGAAATGCATTTCCAATCTTCTTTAGGACACAGAATTTCCAGGTGTTGTAGTGAGACCAATTGGGGAATTTCGAAGTTCCATAGACTACCAGTATCAGCTTCTTCGGTGTAATGTTGACCTGCTTAAAATTATACAACTGGGCCTCACATTCACAAATGAGAAAGGAGAATATCCTTCTGGAATCAACACCTGGCAGTTCAACTTCAAATTCAATCTTATGTAAGTTGTCTGTGTTTTTTTTTTTTTCCGTCACCTGCTAAGTTGGTATATTTGTGATTACAAGTAATTTTATTAGGTTCTTTTCTTAATTTTTGAACCAGTTTTTTATTTTAAACTTTGTAATTTATTGAACATGTCATTCAAACTTAAGATATACTTGGACCTACAGAGGTCAAGTATTAAAATCTCAATACTTCCAGAAACCATGAATTTGTTGGTGTGGGTTGTTTTGTCCACCAGTGCCAGATTATAGTCTTTATATCCTTTAGTGTAAGTTCATTACCTTGCATCCAACCTGATGATGTATTTCTGTGAATTTAGGAAAATACTTGAATGCCCCATATACTGTATGTCATTGGGCTGGTACTTGAAACCTTTCCAGAAAGGTAGAGCATGACAGAGCTTGTGTTCTGCTAACATATCCTTTTAAGTCCTGCATTTACTTATATGCCAGGATGAAGCATTAGAGTAGGCCTTCATAGAGGAACTTTATTCCATCATGTTTTCCATTCTTGATGGTTCTTAGCATTTAATTACATTGTATTCCATAGTTTGAACCATTCCTCAACCATTGGGCTTCATTAATGTGTGTGTGTGTGTGTGTGTGTGTGTGTGTGTGTGTGTGTGTGTG